GCTCACCACAGGTCCTGAAAGGGTGCGGCAGTGGGAGGGGCAAGGCAGAGGGTGCCTGCACCCGGGCTCCAGGGCTGCCCCTGCCGAGTGCACCCCTGCTCCCCAGGGTGACAATCAGGCCCCGTGAACAGGAATACAGTCTTCCCCATTGACAGGCCCCCGTGGGCCATTGACTGCAGGTTGCCCACGGGTGTCCGCTGGACCCAGAAGCACGTAGCAGTTTGCCAGGATGGAGAGGGTGGGGCCTCACTGCTTCGAGAAGCACTCCTGGCTTCATGCAGTCTGCCCCAGAGTGTGCCTGGCTGCCCTGTGCCCCACCTGGTCATCTTGGGAGTCAGGATCCCACTGCCCCCCCCGGGTCAAAGCCCCTTGTTTCCCATGTGGCCTTTCTCCTCAGCGTCATCCCCGGCCAGCCCACTGTACACAGCCATGTCTCCCTCTCCAGAGCAGTTTCAGGGGCCAGAAGTCTGACATCAAGTGGTGACCAGTGGGGTCCAAAAACGCCCTAGGGGAGGAACAATTGTTGGCTGAGGACATGACTTCCCCTGTCAGTCCTCCTTGGCAAGAGGCAGGATCCACCCCCCGTTGTCCTGCCGGGGAGTCGGGGACAGAGCTGGGGTGGTCCTGAGGCTGCCGGCCTAATGTCCCCTCACCCCTGTCCACCAGTGTCACAGAGCTCTGCCTCCACCTAGAAATGTGCATGGCACCCGAGACTGCAGCTGCTCTGCTTGGCACTTACAGCCCAGCAAACCCAGCTGTGCGCCAGGTGACAATGTCCCCACCCGGGAAAAAAAGGCAGCAGGTGTTGGGGCCTCCTGGTCGACAGCCACCCCCCAGCACCAGGGTGTGAGCACTTGGGGTCCCACAGGCAATGATGGGCCAGGCACGTGACCCAGTCCAGGGGACAACAATGATCCCGAGGCTTGTCCAGGGTGCCTGGAGGCCAGGGGGGTGGCTCTATAGAGGACTGAGGGCACCAGTGCCCCATGGGCAGGAGATCCAGCACAGCTTCGCTGTGTGGCTGCCCAGTGAGGAGGGGAGGGGGGCCAGCGCCAGTGACCAAGCAGGAGGGGGCCAGCCACAGGAGGGAAGCACCACGGGGTTCCCGCTCAGAGGGCCTTGGCCTGTGGCAAGCTGCGCCACCCTGGGAAACAGGTGAAGGTCCTGTAGGAGGAGTGGCCTGCACTGGACTTCTTTTCTTTTTTTAACTTCTGTGCTTGGAGGTCCCTTAAGTGAAACCTCACTTGGTTTTAAGATACCTAAAGTTTTTCTGTATCATTTTTAAAGCTGCTCATTCCCAGCATGTCTGAATGTTGTCATTTTTAAAGCAGAACAGTTAGAAAACAGCCTTTTCAGGATATTCAGTGGAATCAAAATCCCACTGCAATTTGACACTCACCCTGGACCACTTGGGAAGGACCCAGTAGGCTGCGCCTCATGGTGTCAGCCTCAGGGTCCCCTCCTTCCCCCAGAGCTTCGCCTGGGGAATTGCCCAGAGGCACAGTGTGGTCAGAAGTAGAGGCGTGGCAGGCGGGCTGCTCTCCTCCAGGGTGCGGGCCTGAGTGCATCCTGCCCCACCTCACATCTGCGTCAGCTGGCACAGATTCATGAGAAAGCTCAGCTCACCTGCCACCATTCCCCTTCCCTCCACCAGGCACCTGGCCACGTGGGTCCCCAGGGGACAAACAGGGACAGAGCTCCCAGCAGCCTGGGCTGGAGTGTGGGGCGAGGAAACCCTTTGCTGTTCAGATAGTGGAGTTGTTGGTTAATGCCATGTGACCCAACCTAGGGACACACACCTGTTGTTTCTCCGAGACGTGTGTATTCCCTGATGCAGCTGTTGGTTTTGATTTGTGAAACCATAGGATGAGCCTGGCAAGAAGAACTTCATCTGGAAAGTTACCTCCACAGTAAGTACAACTAGAATGACACATATATTGCAAATCTTCACAAAAAACTTTATGCATGGGAGTAAAATTGGCCTTGAGATGCATCAGCTAATGGTTGTCCGTTCTCATGGGAAAACATTACTGGAGGCTGGACTGACACGGGTTCACAGACAGAAGAGCTGATAAAACTGTTACCTAAATGAAGATGCGGGAATACAAGTTTTGCTGTAGTGCTGTCAGTCTTTCACAATCCTGCCATGTGTGAAAAGCCACGTTAATGCATCACCATGAGAAAGGACAAGCTGTTCCCAAGGCAGTGCTTCCCCTGAGACGGGGTTTGGGAGGGTACCCCTGTTCTCCACATTCTGCGGCAGGGAGCAGAGGCCAGAGGGCTAGGCTCCAGGGTCTCTGCAGGCTTTGAGCCCCCACCCAGCATGTCGCTGAGGACCTCTGCTATGGGCCCACCCATCCCCATCCAAGTCCCTCTCTGGCTCTGCAGTCGGGTGACAAGGGTGCAGGATCTGAGGGCCAGGCCTCAGCTCTGCCAGGGGGCTCCTGATCAAGCTCCAGCTGCTTCCTCTGACGTGGAAGGCAGCTAGCCAGCGCTCCTTGCAGAGCACCCCGGGCACCATCAGTATCCACAGAACACCCTATCCTGTGGCAGGCCCACAGCCTGCCCCTGCCCACGTGCCAGTGCTGAGGCCAGCCACATGCAGCACAGCGGACGGGACACCGGGGCAGAGCAACGCGAGCCATGATATGAGGGACGATGTAGCCAAAGCAGCAGGACTTCTACCAAGAAATTATTTTAATGCCATTACAGGACATGAAGATCTAAATAAAAGGGAAGATATACTATGTTGATGAATTAAGAGTCTTAACATAGTGCAGAATCCAGTTTTCTCCAAGGTAGCACACATTCTAGGCAATCTCAATATTTTCAGCTACATTTCTTTGATGGAAACTTGACCAAGTCCTTTTAAATTGTAGTTGACCCTCGAACAACATAGGTTTGAACTGCATGGGTCCACTCATGCAGATATTTTTCAATAACTGATTGGAAAATTTTTTGGAGATTTGCAGCAATTTGAAAAAGCATTTTCTCTATGTTACTTTACTGTAAGAATATATATGCAAAATGTGTTAAATCAGTTGTATGAAAAAAGTAAATCAGTTGTATGTTACAGATTAGGCTTCTAGTCAACAGTTGGCTATTAAGATTTTGGGGAGTCAAAGTTATATTTGGATTTTGATTTTGCAGGTAGTTAGTGCCTTTAGCCCCCATGCTGGTCCAGGCTCAACTTACATGGAAAACTAAAGGTCATGAATACCAAAGTCATTGCTGAAAAGGAAGAATAAAGGGGCACCTGCCCATCCGCATACCTGGTGTACCCCAAAGCTGGAACTACAGAAGCTGCTGCTGCAGGTGAGGGGACAGACCCGCTGCAGGTCAGCTCAATGTAGAAACAAAGTCGGATTCCAGCGGTCCTGCTTGGGGGCCACAGGAGAATGAATGTAGAAGACAGACCATCTTACTCCTGGATGGACACTGGAAGGCATCTCTGACACGGAAAAGAAACCCCAAAACTACAAGCCATACAACTGTGGTGGCTTTGAGCGCACCATCACAGTGAAGGCTTTCTGTCCATACCCAGGTAAACCCACCAGACAAAACCCGGAGGAGGGTTTACAGCTGATCCACAGAGGCAAGTCCAGAACTCCTGCAAGTCAGCCAGAGGCGACACCAGGTGTGCAGGCTTGGAGAGGAAGGAAGCATGCACACCCCACTGGTCACCAGAAAAAGGCAGACCAGAAACTGTGAAACTAGGTCCCCAACCCCAGGTAACACCAGGAGCTGGGAATGCCCCAGGGCAGGACCCCTTTTCACCGTGGGAATGTGGCCTCCTGGGAGGAAGGGAGGCACCGCCCACAGCACCTCTGAGGGTCTCCCCAAGGGGCCTTCCGGGGTCTGCACCAGTCACGGGGGTCAGCTGGGTCATGGTGAGGGGCGTGTGGGTTATCTGGTAGGTCTCTGGCTTATGTGGGGAGTGTCATGTTCTTTGCGGGTTCTTTGCGGGCGGTCCGGGCTGCCTCAGGGGTCTGGGCTGGTCGGGAGTGGGGAATAGGAGCAGCCGAATATTCCTCAGAAAGTGGTGGACAAGGAAAACATGTTAGAGGCCAAGGGTGGGTGTCATGCAGGTGCATTGTCCAGACCCATAAGAAAGGTAAAAATACAAGGGGTGAAGCCCACGTTTGATACAAGACACCCCATCTCTGAGCCCCACAGGGCAGGTTGCTCACAGCAGTGACCCAGGGCCTGCAAGTGCCCAGGACATACTTGTTGGCCGAATTTTTAAATGAAGGTGAAACTCCAACCACATTAAATGTTTTACAGAGAGTGCATGTATACCCCCATTATAGTGAAAGAGGGGCCAGCCGTGAAGGAATAAAGAGAAAATGTGATAAACCGCAGAGGGTCTTTCGGACACGAAATGGAGGCTAGGCTCTGCTCCTGAGACCAAAGCCAGACTGTTCTGAGGGTGGGAGTGGGGGGGACGGCGGCCAGGGGGCGGGAGGTGGAGGGGCTCCGGCCAGAAGCACGGGAACCCCCCCAGAGCCCGCCCCGGCAGCTGGCACAGGCCGGCGAACGTCTGTTGAGGGGGGCAAATGGATGGGGGACCAGGGGGATGGGAAGGGAAACGGGACAGGAAGGGGCCGTGGGGTGGGTGACACGGGCCGAGCTGTGGGCAGGGGGCGCAGAGCCGAGATCCCGGCAGGTGCCGGAACAGGGAGCGGCCCCCCGCCCGGGCCCGCGGCGCCCCCCGCCCTCGGCGGCCGCCTGGGGTCGGCGGCGGGGACACCGCGGGAGGCGGGGCGGGGGTCGCCCGCGCTCGGCCTCTTCCACCTCCGTCCCGAGGAAGAGGAGGAAGGACCGGGGTTGTTACTTCATTTAATTTAAATATTTTTGCAAAGTCATCCCCGGCGCCGCATCTGCGGCGGGGGGAGGGCGGGGCCACGCCGGAGCCTCCGCAGGTAAACAGCCCCCTCCCCGCGGCGGGAGCGGGGCCCGGCCCGGCGGCACAGCGGCCGCCGCCCCCGCGAGGGACGCGCCAGGGCCGGGCCCGGGCCCCAGACCCGCGCCCCGACCCCTGCCCGCGGGGGCGGCGGCGAGCGCCCCCGCCCCCGGCCCCCGCGCCCCATGCACCACCTTCTGGAGCAGTCGGCGGACATGGCGACGGCGCTGCTGGCCGGCGAGAAGCTGCGCGAGCTGATCCTGCCCGGCGCGCAGGACGACAAGGCGGGCGCGCTGGCCGCGCTGCTCCTGCAGCTCAAGCTCGAGCTGCCGTTCGACCGCGTGGTCACCATCGGCACCGTGCTCGTCCCCATCCTGCTGGTCACCCTGGTCTTCACCAAGAACTTCGCAGGTGAGAGCGGGCCGGGGGCGGGCGGCGCGTCCTCCCTCCGGCCACCCCGCCGCCGGCCGCCGCACTGGGGTCTCCCGGCAGGCCCTCCACACGCGCCGCGGCCATGTGGGCGTCCGGGCCGCCGCCTCCGAGACCCCTTTCCTTTCATTGCTGTGTTCACCTTACATTCGCTTTCCGGGGGCAGCGGGGCGGGCCTGGAGCCGATGGTCCCGCGTCCATGAGGCGGGGGGTCTGGCACGCAAGGGGGGTGGGGAGCAGGGGGGGTCAGGGCCTGAGGGAAGGACGAGTGGCCCGGGAAGGACCAGCAAAGGACGTTACAGGTGGTGAGAACAACTGATGACAAGGCAGAGGGCGCATCTGGACAGGTCCGGGGAGCGGGACTCAGGTCGGGGGGTCTTTGAGAAGCTGCAGGTGCTGGTCAGTGGACGGGTGACGCCGTGCCGGAGGCCTGGGGAGGTCTGCGGGAGAGGCGGCATCAGGCGGAGGTGGGTGGTGGGCCCTCCTGGCCTGCGGGGCTCCTGCCGACAGAAAGCAGACTGAACTGGCAGAGGCAGAGGCACCGCGGAGTGGGCGCTTAGGCGCTGAGGCCTGAAGTCACCGTACTTGGGCCTGGGTATACCCTCCGCACGAGGGGGCACTTGGACGCCCCTAACTAGAAGTAACCCCAAGTGGAGCTGGAAGATGGGCACAAGGCAGTGGGCCAGCCTGTGGGGAGCCGGGGGCATGGAGGAGGAGAAGCGGGCTCCTGGTGCACGGCACCCCAAAGGCCTGTGGGCAGGTGGAGGTGGCCACTGGAGGCAGGAAATGGTGCCCCCAGCTGGGGTTTGACTGGCAACAAGGGGTCTCAGGGCCCAAGTGTCCAATGAGGCCCCTTCATAGCCCTTGGGCCATGTCTGAGGGCCAGAGGTGCCCATCGGGGGCAGAGAGCTGGGAGCTCCCGTGCACCTCTTGAGGGCAGAGGGACATGTGTCTCTGTCCCCTGAGTAACCCTGGCCAACATGTCTGATCCTGTGCTGGGTCTCACAAAGGTCTCATTTTATAGGGGTCCCTGTGACCTAGGGATGCCAGACCTGAGGGTAGACACTGTCCAGGCCACTGACCCCACCACCCCTTGGAGGGGGCCCTCCACCAGTTTCTGTCTTTGGACACCAGTGCCCAGATAATGTGTCAGGACACGTGCGCAGGGCCTGGGAGGCACAGCACTCAGGCGGGGGCATGACCCACGTGTGTGTGGCAGTGGGCCCTGCTCGTCCCTCGGCACGTTTCCTGGGCCAGTGGGAGCAAAGCGGACAGATTCGGTCCCTCACAATGACAGAACTTTATTTCACAGTCTGGAGGCCTGAAGTCTCAGGTCAGCGGGTGGGCAGGGCTGCCACCGCAGAGGCCTGGGAGGGCCCCCCTTCGCCTGTCCTGCCGTGGCGGTCCCTGTGCTCCTCGACCTTCCTTAGCATCACTGTGGCGCATCGCCCAGTCTGCCTCCATTCCCACACGGGTGCCGTCTCCCTGGGGGAATCTGTCCAGTTCTCTCACCGGGGCTCCAGTTACTGGACCTCTTCTTACCTTGTTCATACCTGCAAAGACCCTTGTTCCAAATAAGGTACATTCACAGGTACCTGGGATTGGGGCTTGAACATCTTTTGGGGGACACAATTCTACCCCCTAGAGATGCACACAGGAGGGCAGGCAAGCTCATGACTCAGGTGACCCCCAGGGACAGGGGCTCCCACTCGGATATACCGCTCTGAGTGCAGCTCACCCCACCAGGCCTGGGGTGCCAGGGTCTCCCAAATACACCCCCACCCCTGGCCCTGGCAGTGCCACCTGCCTCCCTGTGTGGAACCACCCTTTCATGCCTGCATCTGCTCATGGACCTGCGTGCACCCACAGGGCCCACTGCTGGTGTGGGGAGGGGGCCTGGTGTCCCCCAGCGTGGGTGAGGCAGGTCTTCTGAGAAGTGGCAGATGGGTGCTGGTACCTACTGCCTGCTGTCCTGGGACCGGAAACCCACCGTGTGGGACATCTTATCCTCAGTCATGGAACAAATAGCGCTGGCACCGGTTCTGAGTCTGCCGGTTCACCCCTCCCTGAGACGGGATGCCGCATCTGTGGCCCCCACGGTGTGGGGGAGCCCTGGCTGCTTCTCTTGCTCCCCTGGATCAGGGTCTGAGGCAGGACAGTGGCCACGCCACCTGGTGCTCCTGTCTCAGGTGAGCTGTGTCCTGGTACCTCGTTCAGAACTTGGAAGCATCCTGGGGTCCTCTCCCCAGACCCAAGGACAGCAGGCACACAGGGAAAAGGGCACTTGTAGGTGAGAACCAGATGTCCACAGAATGGACTTGGAGGTGCAACCCTGCAGGCAGGAGGGTGCTGCTTAGGTAGGGCAGAGGTGCAAGAGGGAGACAAGGTCAGGAGCTCTGACCTTGTGGTCAGAGGCCCCTCCATCCAGTTCCCTGAATAGAAGCACCCCCAGGTACCTGTCCCTTTGGCACTGTGTTTGCGCTCATCTGCAAGGTCTGATTTCTGAGGCCCACCCCGAGCCCCTCAAACCACCCCACAGTGGGGGTTGTCAGACTGCCAGTTGTGGGGAGCCAGGCGACCTCAAAGTGCAGGAGTACCTGTGGGGTCTCTGCCCTGAGGTGTAGCTGGCCACCCTCCCCAGCCCCTCACACAGCACCAGCAGCGGCCATCTGTCCTTTAGGCGAGGACACGATTCTGTCTATAGGGCTCCGCACAAGGCAGGCACCCTGCAGTGTGAGGCACGGGGGCTCCAACAGACTGACAGGCATGTTAGTCCCTACCTGTCCTGATGTCAGCTCCCTTGGGGCATTTATTTGGGGGGTGAGAGGACAGTCCAGGCTGGGGCGGGATTGGCATGTGCCACACAGTGGCTGTGGTTGGAGTGAGGGCCTCCTCTCTGTGGGGCGCAGGGCTCTCCCAGCCTGCAGATGGGCCCACAGACACCCAGTCTGGGTCCTTTGGGGGCTGTGAATGTCAGGAGCCGGCTCTGCACAAGGGTCGGCTCCAGACCTGCCAAGTTCTACCCTACAGGGAAGTGTCCCACATGACCTCAAGCCAGGTGGACCCCAGCATGGGGTTCCTGTGCTCATCTGTGCCCATCACTGTGGCCCCTCCTAGACACTCCATTTGGATCTCGGTCACTGCCTCTGCCCCAGGGTTCTCAGGCCTGCCCTCCCCTGAGGGGCCTGGCGGAGCTGCCCCTCCCGCTCTCAGGCAGGCAGGGCCATGCTGCTTGCTTTAGCTGCGCTGCCCTGACCACCTCTGGCCAGGCAGAACCCAAGCAGGCCACCTGCACTCCTAAAGACAGAGCCCTGGGCACGGCCAGGCAGGGGCCAGCAGTGCCCTGGAAGAGGGACCCCAGTGCAGTGCTGGGGCCTGTCCTGTTCCTCTCTGGGACTGTTACCCGGTGTGCACATGGACAACTCAGGGCATTTGGCTAGGGGCCTGACTACTCCCAGCGCGGGTCAGACCCTGGGGGCCACGTGGGTGGGGCTGTAACCCCCACCCAGAGCCACAGCTGACTGTTGTCAGGGGGTGCCCTGGGTGAGCCCCACACACCACCACGGTCGGGACATCGTGGAGGGTACGCTGCCAGAGGAAGGGAGCTTTCCATTTAGGGCACAGTAGCCCCACTGGGGTAGTTGTGGGGGCTGGGGCAGGGTGGGGGCTGGGGCCCGACCGGTGCCCCACCCCAGCCCCGGGTCCTCTCTGCCCCCAGAGGAACCCATTTACTGCTACACTCCGCACAACTTCACCCGCGACCAGGCGCTGTATGCCCGTGGCTACTGCTGGACAGAGCTGCGGGATGCGCTGCCCGGCGTGGACGCCAGCCTGTGGCCGTCGCTGTTTGAACACAAGCTGCTGCCCTACTCGCTCCTGGCTTTTGCAGCCATCATGTATGTGCCTGCGCTGGGCTGGGAGTTCCTGGCCTCCACCCGCCTCACCTCCGAGCTCAACTTCCTGCTGCAGGAGATCGACAACTGCTACCACCGGGCGGCCGAGGGCCGCGCCCCCAAGATCGAGAAGCAGATCCAGTCCAAGGGGCCCGGCATCACGGAGCGCGAGAAGCGCGAGATCATCGAGAACGCCGAGAAGGAGAAGAGCCCGGAGCAGAACCTGTTCGAGAAGTACCTGGAGCGCCGCGGCCGCAGCAACTTCCTGGCCAAGCTGTACCTGGCGCGGCACGTGCTCATCCTGCTGCTCAGCGCGGCGCCCATCTCCTACCTGTGCACCTACTACGCCACCCAGAAGCAGAACGAGTTCACCTGCGCGCTGGGCGCGCCCCCCGACGGCCCGGCAGCCGCGGCGGCCGTGCGCGTCAGCTGCAAGCTGCCCTCCGTGCAGCTGCAGCGCATCGTGGCGGGCGTGGACATCGTGCTGCTGTGCGCCATGAACCTCATCATCCTCGTCAACCTCATCCACCTCTTCATCTTCCGCAAGAGCAACTTCATCTTCGACAAGCTGCACAAGGTGGGCATCAAGACGCGCCGGCAGTGGCGCCGCTCCCAGTTCTGCGACATCAACATCCTGGCCATGTTCTGCAACGAGAACCGCGACCACATCAAGTCGCTCAACCGGCTGGACTTCATCACCAACGAGAGCGACCTCATGTACGACAACGTGGTGCGGCAGCTGCTGGCCGCGCTGGCCCAGTCCAACCACGACGCGACGCCCACCGTGCGCGACGCGGGCGTGCAGACCGTGGATCCCAACGCCAACCCTGCCGAGCCCGAGGGCTCCGCCGAGCCGCCCGTGGTTAAGCGGCCGCGCAAGAAGATGAAGTGGATCCCCAGCAGCAGCCCGCTGCCCCAGCCCTTCAAGGAGCAGCTGGCCGTCATGCGCGTGGAGAACAGCAAGGCCGAGAAGCCCAAGCCGGTGCGTCGCAAGACTGCCACGGACACGCTGATCGCGCCGCTGCTGGACGCGGGCGCCCGCGCCGCTCTCCACTACAAGGGCGGCGGGGGCGGGGCGGGCGACACAGGCCCCGCCCCCGACAAGAAGCACGCCCGCCACTTCTCCCTGGATGTGCACCCCTACGTTCTGGGCGCCAAGAAGGCTAAGCCCGAGGCAGTGCCCGCCACCCTGCCCACCTCCCGGAGCCAGGAAGGGGGCTTCCTGTCCCAGGCAGAGGAGCGAGGGCTGAGCCTGGCCGCAGCGCCCACCAAAGGTAGGCCAGTGGCCAGGGGCCGGGAGGAAGGGGCCTGGAGAGCCACTGCCCAGGCCCCAGGGGGGGGGACCCTGCCCACCCCTTCCACAGCCCGGGCCCCTGGGAAGCCTGGCAAGGAGGTTGAGGATTAACTGGGTGGAAGCAGGGCAGAACGCAGGTGGGACCCCAGCGCGCCCTTAAGGATGCAGCCAACCCGAGGGCCGAAGAGTATATGGCAGTAAGGTTGCCTAGGCCCTTGAGAAGGTTCCAGAATCGGGCTCCACTCTGTGGAGAGGGATGGCCAGAGGGAGGAGGGAAACCCTTCCGGAGGCCGTTCCTTGCCGTGAGCCCCGCCTGCCTTGCTGGGGCCAGGGAGGGGGCCCGTGGGGTGTGACGCGCCCCTGTTGGGCTGTTTGCAGACGCTCCACTGCCCGAGAAGGAAGTCCTGTACCCAGCAGAGCCGGCCCGCGCCGCACTTCCCTCCGGGGGCCCATTTCACGTGTGTTCACCCCCCGCTGCCCCTGCCACAGCCCCCCTGTCTCCAGCCGGCCTGGGCAAGGCGGATCCCCTCACCATCCTGAGCCGCAACGCCACCCACCCATTGCTGCACATCAGCACGCTCTACGAGGCCCGGGAGGAGGAGGATGGGGGTCCTTGCGCACCCCCGGACATGAGCAGCCTCATCACCATCCCCCCCCCCCAGCAGATCCTCATTGCCACCTTCGACGAGCCGAGGACAGTAGTGAGTACCGTGGAGTTCTGAGGGACAGGACCGCCCGGGCCTCCGCAGCCCCTCTGCATGACCTTGGTGTGCCGCTGACCCCAGCCCACGTGGACATGGTCTCCGCTTCGCCCAGCTCTGCCTGCACCCCTGGCCTCCTGTCCGCATGTCCTGGGGCTCAGCATCCCTCCCACCCTGCTCCCCAGATGGCATTGTTGGGGTGCTGGCTGGGCCAGGGGCTGGGTGTGACCCCAGCAGAGCCACCCCACCCCTGCATCAGGTGTTCAGCTGCAAGGTGAAGAGTTTATTTTTTTAGTCAATTTTGTCCTGGGCCCAGAGTGCTGGACTGTGAGGCGCTGGGCTGTGGCAGGACATCTCAGCCCCAAGCCTGAAAGGAAGCTGGAGCTGGTGGCACCAGGGGGTTGGCCACAACCAAGGGGCCAAGCTCAAGGTTGCCCCAGCAGGCACCAGGAGGGGGGTGAGAGGGGCTGGAGTCTGCCCTCCAGCCAAAGGTCCACATGCACTTTAACCTTGTCCCAAGTTACCCGTACTTGATTTTACTATGATTACTGTAACTAGCAAGTGTGTTTATCAGGAGACTTGGATGCATTTAAAACAAAGGATGGTGTGTGTGTGTGTGTGTCTGTGTGTGTGTGTCTCCGAGTGTGTGTGCGTGTGCACGCAGGCGTGTGCGTAAGAAAAGATGGGTGTGGGCACCAGCGTGTGAGCAAGCGCATGGTGGCCGTGTGCGAGCCAGGGAAGGAGTCCAACGCAATAACCATGTCCCCCACCAGGCCCCCAGCCTGGCCCCAGGGCCCACGCCACTTGCAGTGGGAGCCCAGGGCCAGTGGCAGGCCTGTCCCTATTACCTCAGCCACGGTGACAACGTGACAGTATTAACAAAGTAGCACCGAGCATATCAATAAATACTATTCTGATACCATCTGAGTCCCAAGTGGTTCATCCTGCAAGGGGCCTATGCCTGGCTGAGGCATCAAAGGAGAACACAGGCAGGTGGGCTGCATCCCAGCATGTGTTTTCAATGCAGTTCTGTCATCATTCGGGTTGGTGAGGCCAGCAAGCCAGGGGAGACCTGCCGCTGACAAGGTGTTTTGCATGCACAGGTCCCAAGAGGCTATTCACAGGAAGCCCCTGTGGTCCCGAGGACGGGGCGGGGGTGCGGTGAGGCCCAGGTAGAGCCTTCTTGCGATTTCTGAGGGACACGGTCAGGAAGCAGCTTTGGACTGGCCGGTGCGGGTGATGAGAGTGGGCAGCGGGGCCCAGGGCCTGCCCGGTCAAGGGGTGGTGACCTGGCCCAGGGTGACGAGGAGGAGCAGGCAGAGCGTGAGCCCCCCGGAGGAGAGCGGGCCGGGCTGCCACTGCCCGCCTGCATTTAAAGTCGTTTGCTGTGCCCTTCCTTGGGAGGCGCAGCAAGGCCTCAGAGGTCAAAACAGGAGAAACGGAAAAGGCATGATTAACAAGCCCTGTCCCCAGAAAGCACTCGCCCTCACCCAGGCAAGGATGCTCCCTGGCCCACGGCCCCTCGGGTCGGCACCTTTCTCACACATCTGGGAAGGGACTGCATGTGCCCACAAGACCTGAGCAGGTCAGCAGGGTGGGACCTGCCCTGGCCCCTAGCAGTTCCTCTTGGTCCCACACCAGCAACTGGCTTCACTGCAATGACGAGCCATGGGGGCTGAAGTGACCCTGTGGGCGGGTGGCTGTGCCTACCCAGGGAACCCAAGTCATGCTGGTGTCAGGCATTAATGTTCCCTGAGTGGAGATGGGGGCCAGCCAGGCCCTCCGGCCCTTCCCAGCCACACTCGTCTCCCTAGCCCTGCACCAGATCTCGGCTCAGCTCTGGGCCCTGTGTGGGTTATCCCTGCCGCCCACAAGGCCTCCAGCTCATCGAATGTGGGGGTCAGTGACAGTGCCTGCACCCCCACCCTTGTGGCTCCACCCTGTGGGGTGTGCATAGCCTAGGCAGTGTGGCCAGGAGTCTCCTGTACTTTCCTCCTGCTGGTGGACACAGCACCGCTGGCTGCAGGGCATCCACACACGCACAGGTCCAGTGGAGCCTCCTGTGCCTTGGATGGGACTGCTTTGCTAGGCTGCCACCCGCCTGCCCCTGAGCCAAGACCTGGCAGGACATTTCTGACCAAGTCCCATCCAGAAGTGGTCTGTCCTTCTGAGTAAAGGCAATGCCCCCGGTGTGTGGACTGACCGGTTGCCCTTTGGCTGGGGAAGAGAAGGGGCCAAGTCAGCTTCCCGTGGACACAGACTTACTGCAGGTACCAGGGAGCCCATCCAAGCTGCATGCTTCCTCTACCCCAGTCCCAAGTCTTGCTGCACCTCCTTGAAGTGGGTCCTGCCCAGACCCTGGGTGGTCTCCAGTGGCAAGAGTGCCCAGGCTTCCCAAATGGAGGCTCTGGGAAGGCCAGGGTTTGGGCCATACCCTGCTACCTCCCGGCTGGTTGTTTCCTTCTGCAGCTCGCTGGAGGCACCATGGGCCATGTTCCTTCAAGACACCTTCCCTCTAGCTGTGCCAGGGAAGGATGCAGCTGCCATCCCTCCCTTGGAAAAGAGGCTTGGGGATACCCTTGCAACCCATCACACATAGCCAGGACTGGACCTAGGCATCTTCCCTGCCCAGCATGGGCATCTCAACCAGACTCGAGACAGGAGTGAAAGTGCCCCAGAGAGGACCAGGGCACAGACCTGGTAACTCCCCCTGCTCTCCTGTGTGAAGGTGGCTGTGGGGCGCGCAGAAATGATGCGTGCCAGCAAAGGAAGGGGACAATGACCTGGAGGCGTCCTTCACCAAGGGGAGCAGAGGCCACCCTGAGGCTGCCCGCAGGGCCCGAGAAACCACCCAGGGGGCAGCAGGAGCCCAGCACAGAGAGTGGACCAGGTTTTCTCCCACATCAGCCAGACAGCAGGAGGACCACCCCTTGACTCAGAGAGGGGAGACCTGTGCACCCACAAGTCACCATGCCAGGGCAGCTCCTCAGTCCCCTGAGGCCGCTGCCCGCTCGGCCAAATGGCGACACAGGGTCCAGTTGTCGTCCCCGGGGTACGGGGGCTCCAGCTAGCCCGGGGTCCGCTGGTCCAGAGACCTCCCTTCGGGTCCCTCCAAGGCCGGCAGCAGGACCACCCAGGCCTGCGCCCCCTGGGGACCCCCGCCTCGAGGCCGAAGGGGATCCCCCGGAAGGGCTGCGTCAAGCCACGGGGGCGCGCTTCACGACCCGAGCTCTCCGCTCCTCCGTGCAGCCTTACAGTTCTGTATCATTGGCCACAAAGCCACTTCGTATGCGACGCAGAACATCACTCCCATTTTACAAAGAGGGAGTTACGGTCAGAGAATTAAAGAGCGCTTCGCAAAGCCGCCCCCCCCCCCCGGACGTCCAGCTGGGGACTCGACCTCGCGGCATCACAGTGCCGCCTGCGCCCTAGGTTCGGAGGCGCAGGGACGGGACCGGGCGGTGCTTCTCGCGCGCGGCGCCCCGGGAAGTGTGGTCCGCGGGCGCTCGCGCGCGGCCCCCTGGGAAGTGTGGTCCGCGGGTGCGGGCCGGGCGCGCCGCCGGGCCGGACGAGCTGCTCGCGGAACTGTGCTTCCCGGCATGCCGCGCGCCGCTCGTCCTGGCCCCTGACCGCCCACCAGCGACCTCAGCCGGGCCGGCCGGCCCGCCCCGTCCGGTGGGGCGACGAGCCGCATGGAGGCCGGCTGAGGAGCGCCGCCCCGCCTCGGTACGCCGCGCGGCGCGGGCCTGGGGCGGGGGCGGCGCGCTCGTGAGCCCCGGCGGCCGGCCGGGGTCGGGTCGCGGTGGGAGTTAGAGGCAGCCCGCTTTGGGCCGGGCCCAGCCGGCCGCCAGCGGGGGCCCTCGGGCCAGAGGGGTCCGCCCGGACTCGGGGGCGGGCGCGCGGGGCCGGGGCCGACGGCGGGGGTCGGGGGCCAGGGGCGGGGAAGGCGGCGTAGGGCGGCCTCGCGCGCGCCGGCCCCTGCCCTTCGCGGCCGCGTCTCCGCGCACGGTGTGACCGGAAGCGCGTTCACCGAGGTACGACTCACATGCCGCAAAGTAGCTCGGAGGTCACGTGTGCGTCTTGGTAACAACTGTCCCAAGAAAGGGAACCGAGTGTGCCTTGGCATCGACATTTGAGAAACAGGAAGCCCAATCAGAGGTGTCGGGCTGGCTTTGGGGGTTCCCACAGCCTCGCCAGGAGAACCGCGGTTTCCAGGTTGAATCCCGCTGGAGAGGGAGGTGCACAGGCCTTCGTGCTCGCTGCGCCCCGGGCAGGCTTGGCTCTGTCCGCTTTGTCCCTTCCTCGCGATGTGACTGGGAGGGATCCTGACGCCGGGACCACCGGCCAGCCTTGCAGTGTGGCTGTAATGCTGGGGTGTGGCGCGTACGAGAGGGCCGGGCAGGGTGGGCCAGACACCTACAGAACACCCTACATGCGCTGGTCAGCGTAGGGACCCAGCATTAGGCAGTGTCCAGGTTCCAGGAGGGTCAGTGGGTGTGCTGGACAAGGAGCCATTCAGACCTCCAGCCCAGATGGGAGCTGCATGCTTCCTCTACCCCAGTCCCAAGTCCTGCCGCACCTCCTTGAAGCGGGTCCTGCCCAGACCCTGGGTGGTCTCCAGTGCCAAGAGTGTCCAGGCTTCCCAAATGGAGGCTCTGGGAAGGCCAGGGTTTGGGCCATACCCTGCTACCTCCCGGCTGGTCACTTCTTTCTGCAGCTCGCTGGTCTTTCCAGTTTGGAACTTAGCTTTCTGAGGCCAGCTGCACTGGTTGGAAGCTGAGGCTTTTTCTCCGAACACTGTCCATGCTGGTCAGCCCTTGGCCAGCACTGGGAAGCCAGGCTGGGGTCTGGGAGGCATTTTCTGGCTTCCCAGTTTTTAGAGGGGGAGCAGGGAGAGGACAGGTGTCTGTCTGCTCTGCAGCCACAACAAAACACCACAGAGTGTAAGGCTGAAGCCACAGGCTGTTTACTGGCGGCTCTGGAGGCTGCCGATCGAGGTGGGTATGGATTTGGTTCCTGGCTATGGACAGTGCCTCCTCCCTGTGTCCTCACCGGCGTGGAGGGAGGTCTGGTGTCTCTGCTCCTAAGGCACCCCCTTGACCTCGTCTGAACTTGATCTTCTCCCAAAGATCACACCTCCAAATACCATCACATTGGGGGTTAGAGCTTCAATGTATAGATTTGGGGGACATGATGCATCCCAACGTGGTAGCCAGAAGAGGGGGCAGCTGCCTGGCCTGGGCAAGCAGGAACCTTTAGCTACCACTCACATCATTTAACTGTAAGATGTCCTCAAGTTATGTCCTGAAAGAGGCACCGCAGAACATTCTTAGGTGCTGGGAACATCATGGGACGCAAATGAGCCTAACCTGTCACTCTGATTTGTGTCCCAGGGCTGCATGCCCCCCGTGAACCCCTAATGCTGGTGAGCTGCTCATGCCTCTGAACTGGGTGCTTTCTCTGGTGTCTTGGATAAGACTGGTCCTTTCAGGGCTGTGGGGAGTTCCCAGATCTGGAGCTTATTTTCCTGGAAGCACATTTATGATTGTGCAACAGTCATCTGCATGGAGAGCTGTAATTTCCGAAGCCAGATAATGGTGTCCCTGTGCAGACCAGGAGACACCTGAGAGGACTCGCATTTCAGTGTCTCCTGGAACCAGGCCCTGGTTCTTGTGCCCTGAAGGTTCGGGTTCTGCCCCTGCCCTCCACTCTGGGGACAGGAAACCACGGCACAGCAGAGGGAAGCCTGTAGAGGTCTAGCAGTCATGGACTAAAGAGGCATCTGAGAGTGGCACACAGGTTGCAGCTGGGAAATGCCAGAGTGCAGCTGGGCAGGACAGCTCGGGGGCTGCTCTGACGGCCTTGGCCCTGCCAGCGGAGCCCCGAGACCATGCAGCACTAGGTGGCTGGTCTGAGAGCTGGCCAACCCCATGGCTGTCCCCTGCAGCAGTTGCTGGCAGCCAGCCTGAGTAACAGATGGACTGTCCACAGGCGGTCTTGCTCAGGAGACCCACCACTTGTGCCCACCACTTGTGCTCTGTGGATAGACCTCGGCAGCGACAGCCGGTTGGAGGAAGTGAGTGGCTGGGTCTGGCAGAAGTGTCCTCCCTTGAGCCAGGTTCCCTAGGCTCCCAGCATCAGTGGCCACAGTGTGGTCAGGCCGTGGGCGGGAGCCATGTGCCAGGCTTCCTGGAGCTGTGCTGGCTGGTGGGGACCTGTGTCAGCCTGGACTAAGGTGGGGCGCCCTGAGGGTATCAGCCAGTGTCTGCGGAGTGCTGCGGCCTGCAGTGGTGTGATGAGCAAGGCCAAGCGTCAGGAAGCCGGAAGGACTCAGACGCTCCCGGGCAGCCAAGCAGGTATCTGGGGACAGGCCGGGCCAGCAGTCTGTGGGGGCCCTCGCTCCTCTTCAGGCAACGAAGAGAAGCTCAGGTCAAGCTGGAACTATTTGAAAGTGCATAATCATGAGGAGGAAATGGGAGAATTAATGACCCACTGAAATCACATCTTAGGAAACATCGCTCAGGCCCTGGCCAAGGCTGAGGGAAACAGATATTGGGAAGACTTGTGGGCGTGCCAACAGGCACTGACCTGCACCTCCAGGTCAGGTGCCTGACTCTGTGGTTGGTTGGCTCAGCCGTCCGGGGCTCAAGGCTGGGCTTCAGACCTGCCCCTGCCCGCAGCCTTCAGGACCCAGCCAGGTGCGAAGGGCTCTCAGGGCCTGCCCGCAGGGGAGCCTGGCCCTGCCCCCTCCGTGGGCACAGGCGTCCTGGGCTGCAGAGGGCGGGTGTGTCCCGCCGAGTGCAGGCAGGGTGAGGGCAGAGACCTACCAGACGTGGCCACCACGCCCGCCGGAGGGAGCAGGGGGGCCTCCTGTTTGCTGGCTGTCACATGAGCCTCCCCACAATGGCCCAGGATGTTGTCTTAAGGTTTCCTAGTCCTTTGGTGCCGGTTCTGCCGGGAAGTAGGAATTACCTGCTTCCCTGTGCACAGCCGGCCCCGGGAGCATGTCCAGCCGCGCCCTCTGGTTGCTCCCGCTGGCACAGCCTCCTCTGTGTTCTGGTTGCTGCTTTGCTTCAGTGGAGATCCTTCACCTGTAAAGGGGAAGAAAGGCCTGGGATGGGGAGGCCAGCAAACTGCCTGGCTGGGGCCCCTGGGGACGAGTGCCCCGGAGGCCGGGCCGCGCTCCTTCCCCTGTGAGGCCCGCGGTCTGGCCGTTACCCTGTCCCAGGGCCCAGTCGCTTCCTTTGGCCCTAGCCAGTTCCTCTTCCTGACCCACCCTCTGACCCCATTTCTTCCAGAAGGCCCCACCATCCTGAGGATGGGCTGCCTCCTTCTTGGCCAGCTCCAGGGCAGGTCTGCGTGTCCCTGGACATCAGACCAGTCAGTCGGTCAGTCTCGGAGGGAACCGTGCCCTTTCTCTGAGTCACCTGCCCAAGTGAGCTCCTCCCTGTGGTAGTGAGGAGACCGGCTCGGAGAGGGGCAGCGGGCGGCTGGGTCTGTTCTCGCTGCAGCGCGAGACCACAGGGCACAGAGGGGAATGGGCCCTGACACGGTGTCGTGTTTGTTGTATTACGTGTTTTTCCTTTTTATTATGAAAGTTTTAAAAAGTGCACCAGCAGAGGGGCTGAAATGACCCGAGGGGCTGTGTGAGAGCCCCTGCCCCAGACCCCCTCAGCGGCCTCTGAAAAGCATGTCCCATTTCATCCCTGAGTTCACACCTGGCAGGTGCAGACCTGACACAACCGGGACACCGTGCCCAGCTGACAGCGACCGGTCACGGTCCCCCAGCGGGCTCGTCCTCATGTGGCCGGGCCACTGCCATCTGTGCGCTGGCGCCCGGCCCTTTGGCAGTGCGGCCCCTGTTCTCCTGACTCCAAGCCCGGGAGTGAGCCTGCAGGCCCCGTCAGACTCCAGTTTGAGTTTTCAGTGCATCTTGGGGAGGCGTGGGAGAAGCTGGTACCGTCAGCGCTGTTCTGGTCCAGGCCAAGGTGCCGCCGTGTCCTCCTTCCTCCCACAGGGCCTGACGTGGGCCTCCTCCTGCCGGCTTTGGAGGCCTCCACTCTCTCTGGCAGTTTCTTTCTCTGGTGAAAAGGCCTTTCTGGGCCCCTGGGCCCGCCCCCACACCACCGTCTCCCGAGCTCCTGGCTTCCTTCCGAGACGGACAGGGTGCTGCCAGGCTTCGCTGGAGTGTCTGACTCAGCCTCAGGCTTGCGGCCCTTTTCTTGAACCAGAAAGCAAGTGCCGTCTCCCGACCACACGGGCCTGAGCGCCACCGCTCCCTCTGCTCCCCCGCGGTGCTGCCCCCACACCAGCTCCTCAGAGTGGGCGGCAGCCGTGGTGCTGCGTCCCGGAGATGCCCGGCTCCCTGGCCCTCCTAGGGGTGTGGCCGTCACTTGATTCACTTCTGCTTGATTTTCTCTTTTTAGGTAGTTTTGTAAATTGTGTTTTGTTCCAAAGTCAAAAAGGAAAGGTCCTGTTCCTCCTGGCTGCCTGCTTCGCTTGGTCTCCAAACTCTAATATCTCCCCTCTGCTGGGAAAACGGGAGGTGGGAGCTGGGGATCCTGCCCGCCAGGTTTGCTGGGCTCCCTGGCAGCTGAGCCGGCTCTTCCTGTTGTGCTTAGCCCCACACCACAGGGCTCAGGTGTCACCCCGGCCTGGGAACCCTGGACCTCAGTGGCCTGCGACCGACAGGTGTCGGTCTGGGTGGCAGGGCAGGAAGGACATGGCCCACCTGAGGATCGTTCAGAGACCTGCACCCCTTGGTGAGCCCCGTGCACAGCCCTGGGGCTCCGCTGGGCGTGCACTCCCGTCCCCTCCCTGTCTCCTCAGGCTTCGCTCAGTGCCAGGAGCACCGTCCGGCCATGGAGGAGGAAGAGGAGCTGCCGCCTCGGGAGGTCAGAGGCCTGGGCTGGCGTCCCAGCCTGGGGGCTGCTCCCTGAATGGCCCAGGGCTCGGGGCCAGGCTGGCTGCTGGCCAGAGTGTGGGGTCCCCCGCAGTGTGGCCTCCTGGGTCACTCCGGCTGCATCTGGACAAAGAATGACCTCCTGCTGGCTTCCCGGGTGTTCCTGAGCCAGCCGAAGGGAACGCTGGGCATGGCACACTGAGGGTGGGCCACCCCCGAGGGGATGAGCACAGAGGGCATCTGTGGCCCGTCCGCAGGGAGTTCATGGAGCAGCTGCTCAAGTTCTGGGCAGGTCTACTGGGGACAAGCAGGTTCCCTGAGCCAGGGCAGGCCGTGGGGGAAAGTGGGCACCCCCACCCAAGCGCTCCCCTCCCCTCTGCAGGCTGACGTGGAACCCATCCTGACATCGGGGGCTTCGGAGGTGGTGCCCAGGGTGCTTTCCGGAGAACCGCAGAGCCTGTGTGCGTGCTCACTGAGGCAGCCCGGTGTGCGCGGGGTGGGCAGCACTGGCCGGGGGGGCTCCTGCCATGCCCCCCAAGTTTGTGGTGAAGATGGGCTGGGGGCTCTTGAGTCCAGGTGGGCAAGCAGAGCCGCAGCAGTACCATCCTCTGATGGGAGGGCCAGGGCCTCAGCTGCCCTGGCATCCTCGGACCAGCATGGCCTCCCTGGTCCTCTGTCCCTCTCCACCTGGGCGCACCCCCTGTGGGGTACAGAACTCACCAAGGCCTGGCTTCTTTTCTGGGGAGGGTCTGGTTAGATGGCAACCCCCTACCCCCGTCCCACACTGCAGGGGACCAGGACCCGTGGCTTCTGGAAGCCAGAGGGGCCTGTGGGCTGCGCTGCCTGCCAGGAACCATATGCCCCCTGCGCATCTGGGTTCCACAGCGCAGGAGCCCTTGTGGCCCTGAAAGCTGGGAGCCGAGGCCGCCAGTGTGGACAGCACCCCAAGCTGCGCCGTGCTGTCCCTGCAGCTGACATGGACGCTTTCAACCTGCTCCTGGAGATGAAGCTGACACGGCGGCGGGAAAGGCCCGAACTGCCGCGCACAGTGACCCAGCTGGTGGCCGAGGATGGGAGCAGGGTGTATGTGGTGGGCACTGCCCACTTCAGCGATGACAGCAAGAGAGATGTTGTGAAGGTGAGCGCCACGAGCTGCCTCAAGAGGCCTCGTTCCACGGCCCGGCTCAGCTGCCTCCACGGGTCCAGCAGCCTCGCTGGTCTCTCAGTGACACACACACCCGTGTGTGACCTTCTCGTCTTGGTTGCTTGACAAACTGAGTTGTGGCCACAGCAGTGGGTGGCCCTCAGGGGTGGGCTCTGCCCCCAGGGTTGGGGTCAGTGCTGGATCCGTTGCAGACCATCCGGGAGGTGCAGCCCGACGTGGTGGTCGTGGAGCTCTGCCAGTACCGTGTGTCCATGCTGAAGATGGACGAGGCTGCCCTGCTGCGCGAGGCCAAGGAGATCAGCTTGGAGAAGCTGCAGCAGGCTGTGAGGCAGGTGGGCTGTGGGGCGGCCTTTCGCTGGGCCCTGTTCCCACTGAGCCCCAGGAGGCGTGGGGCCCAGATGGGGCCTAGCCTGTGGTCAGTGCAGGGGTGCCCTCTCCACCCTGGGATCTGTGTGGTTCAGGACTCTTCCTGCTGGCCCATGAGGGAGGAAAGGCCATTGTGTACTGGGTTTCAGGTGAGGGACAGATGGACGTGCTTTAGTCCCAAGCCAGGAGCTGTTCAGGGACCCTGAGGACCCGTTTGCTAAGCAGGTCACTCTGGTGTGGGGGGTTCCAGTTCATCCCACAGCCTGAAGCGATACCCCCACCACCCAGACCCAGGCAGCAGCCTGAGTCCCACTCACCAGCAGGTGCCCTGAGGGGGTTGTGGGCAAGAGTCATCGGGGTCTGGCCTGGAGAGGTGAGAGGAGAAAGGGGTCCCCCAGCCGAGGCCAGGCACCTCTCATGGCTTGTGGCCCTGGGAGGGCTGTGCAGGGGCCTCGGGACACAAAGGGCCAGGAGGGGCCCTGGAGTGGCCACTGGCGGCAGCCCCTGCTGGTGTCGGCTTGTGGCCACGGGGACTCCGCTCTCTGCCCGTGTGGCCGGCCGACGCAGGGCCCTTCCCGCAGAACGGGGTCATGTCGGGGCTCATGCAGATGCTGCTGCTGAAGGTATCCGCCCACATCACCGAGCAGCTGGGCATGGCCCCCGGTGGCGAGTTCAGAGAGGCCTTCAAGGAGGTGGGCCTGGGCTTGGCTGGGGAGGGGACTCCACATCTGGGGGCTGCCCTGGGGCCTGAGGCCTCCCAGCCAACACGCAGCCTCTGTCCCAGGCCAGCAAGGTGCCTTTCTGCAAGTTCCACCTGGGCGACCGGCCCATCCCCGTGACCTTCAAGAGGGCCATTGCCGCACTGTCCTTCTGGCAGAAGGTCAAGCTGGCCTGGGGCCTGTGTTTCCTGTCCGACCCTATCAGGTAGGACTCACTGGTCTCCTGACAGGCAACCCCAGCCCAGGAAGGGGCCAGAGGCCCAGGGGTACCCACAGAGTGACAGGGCTGTGTACGGAACTCCCAGCCCATTGTGGCTTGGCCTGGCCTGCTGTTCGGCACGTCGCTCTTGTTCTTGGGCTGGGCCTCCTCAAACAAGACCTTCCTGGCCCGCCCTTCCACCGTGACCCCAAACAAAGGGTGCTGAGGTCCCTGCGCTGGATCAGCAGCACCCAGCCCTGCTGGTTGCCCTGTCTGTCCCCAGCAAGGATGACGTGGAGCGGTGCAAACAGAAGGACCTGCTGGAACAGATGATGGCCGAGATGATTGGCGAGTTTCCAGACCTGCACCGCACCATCGTCTCGGAGCGTGACATCTACCTGACCTACGTGCTGAGGCAGGCCGCCCGGCGCCTCGAGCTGCCGCGCTCCTCTGACGGTGACGTCCGGCCCGAGCGGGGCTCCTGCGGGCCGTCACTACCGGAGGGATGCTGACCCGTTATTCCCTTTACAGCCGAGCCCAGGAAGTGCGTCCCGTCCGTGGTGGTGGGCGTCGTGGGTATGGGCCACGTCCCCGGCATTGAGAAGAACTGGACCACCGACCTCAACATCCAGGAGATCATGACGTGAGTGCCTCCTGCACGCCCTGTGCACCCCTCACATGGCGGGGCCCAGGGAGGGGGTTGTGACCGCACCGGAGCTGGGGGAGCTAGTGCTCCCGAGCCAGGCCCAGCTGCCTTCCTTCCCCCAGCGTCCCCCCGCCGTCCATCTCCGGCAGAGTGTCCCGGCTGGCTGCAAAGGCTGCGGCCTTGGGCCTGCTGGGCTACGGTCTGTACTGGATGGGGCGCCGCGCTGCCAGCCTGGTCCTGTCGCTGCCCGCCACCCAGTACTGCCTGCAGAGGGCGTCAATGGCCCGGCCGCACCAGTAGGAAGAACAGTGCACAGGACCAAGCGGCGCTGGGGTCTGGCCCCTGAGGAGCTCCTGGGTGCCACCCCCTCGTGGGGGTCCAGGCCCAGCCACTCCTGCCCTCCCCCACCCCGCCCAAATAAAGAATCGTTTAACTGCTCTGAGCTCAGGCTTCCCAGCAGCCCTCCCCTATCCCCTGCAGGGGCCCCCCAGGGCTCACGGGGTTCTCAGGGCCAGGACAGCAGGTGGGGAGGGGCTGAGGCACCTGCTGGCTGATGGTCCTACCCTACCTCACTGTGCCTTCTTCGTGCCGGCCCAGGAGCGCCTGCCCAGGAGTGACTGATGGTGGGTGCCTGGCCATCAGGGGCCAGCTGGCACATCTGGTGGGGCTGGATTGCCCCATGCAGCTCTGGCGTGGCTCCTGGGAGTGTTTGTGCTGAGAGGGCAGCTTGGCCAAGCTTGGTGTCCCTGGACATGCATCAGCACCAGCCCTGCCTCCAGAGAGTGTGTGGTTTTGGTTTTAAAAATGTCTGAAATTTTTTTACTCAGGTAGTTTTAACTTAAAACAAACTGAAGCAAATGTCAGGAAATACTAGCCTTAAATGTGCTTGGGACAGAGACTTCCTTGAGGCCTCAGTGGTGAGCCGGGGTGCCTGTGGGGAGGATCAGCTCCAGCAGTAAGGCTTCCTGGCCATGCAGGGTCCAGCCTGCTTCCTGACCGTCTGGTGGGGAGCCCAGAGGTGCCCTGGCCTCCAGGGGCAGATGGCACGTGTCCACCAGGGCCCGCCAGTTTGCAAGTGTGCAGCAGGTGCCCACCGCCCTCCCACGTGTCCACTTCAGGTACAGACTGGGCTGAGGCCGCCAGCCCCACACAGCACCCCACGCAGTCGTCACCCGTGCGTGTCGCCTTGCGATTGCTCCCAGGCAAGTGCTGACACCGTAGCATCTGTGCGGAGTACCGGGGCCTGGAGCACGTGGCTTGTTTGTGTGGCCTCGGTGTCTGACTGGGTCAGCTGGAGCCCATGGCCAGCCCACGGCAGGGAGCTGGGCGGGGCCCGCATTCTCCCTGTCATTCACGTGCTTGTGTATGTGTTCCTTAGAAACTGAAATAAAGTCTAATTTTGGAAGCTCCTGTTTTGTGAAATGTGTAGAAATAGGACTTAAGTGCAGGGTGCCATGGTGGGGAAGGGTGGCAGAGGGCCTGGGATGGGCAGCAGGATGCTGGTGGCACTGCCTTGGGTCCTGAGGAACTTTCTCCCCATGCCAAGCATGGACCCCAGCTTGGCACAGGCACCAGCCAAGGGGAAGTGTGTCTGGAGGAGCCGCCCTTACCCCACCCAGTCCACGTCCTCTGTCTCCTGCCCAGCTCAGCCACCCACCCTGGCAGGAGGCAGGGGAGGAGGCGGAGGGAGCCTGGCAGCCTGAACAAAAGGTGCTCAGGACCAGCAGCTCAGATCTGCCCGGGAAGACCAGTGAGCACCGAGGGTGGCGGGATCTGCCCGAGGCGCAGAGGGCGGGTGGAAGGGTGGGCTCTTCCCAACAATGTCTGCCCCCTAGGAAGTATGGCTGTCAGCCCTGTGCTGGGTCTTGCTGCTCTCCTCTGCCTCTCTGCACCCCCTGCCAGCTCCATGGTGCAGCATCGAATGCGGGTAAGGAGGCTGGCAGGCTGGTGGATCTCACTAGTCCACGGTGGGCTGGGGGCTCCCGGGGCTGCTGAGCCTGTGCCTGACCAGGGCTTGCTTTCTACAGGTCCCCGTGGTGCTGCTGGAACCCCAAGGTCTGGCTGGGTGTCGTGGGAGAGGGAGGGGCCAGGTAGGCGCAGACTGGGCACCCTCTGACCCACCATCCATGGGTCCACACCCAGCAGGCCTTACTCCCCGTGAGGACCCACCTGGCTCCCTGCCCCAAACAGCCTGCAGGAGGGGCAGTGAGGACAAGGCCCCCTTCGGGTCCTGTGTCAGGAGGGGCCAGCTGAGCTTGGGGAAGCCTAGCCAGGCCCTCCAAGAGCGGCGTGTGAGGTCCTCGTTGGACCCATGGGGAAGAGGTGGTGTCCGGGGGCAGTGGGAGACACCAAAGAATTTAGGGGGGCAGCAAATGAGTGAGTCCAAGGAACGGCCCCTTGAGAGAGGAAAGGCTGGTGTGGTCCAGGTAAGGGGATGGCGCTGCCTGTCTGTCAGGACCAAGGTTGTGAATGGTCTGTGGGATTGTCACGGGGGTCTGTGGGGACTGTTTCTGGTCACTTGGAGAGCAGTGCCCCTTCCCAGGCCCTGGGCCTCCCAGCTCATGTCTTCCACAGGGAGGGACTGCTCTCAGATCCAGAAAGAGAACCCCAGCGCCCCCAGTGGTGTGTACGCCATCCAGCCAGGGGGAGCCAGCACCCCCTTCCAGGTAAGCAGCCCATAGCGTGTGTGTGTTGGGGGTGGGAGGTTGTCAGGGCAGTTTGTGTGTATCACTTTGGCTAAAACAAGAGTTATTACTGTTTGAGGAACTTCCTCCCCATGCCAAGCGTGGACCCCAGCCTGGCGAGGGAAGCGCCAGGCCAGGGCTGCCGGCGGTGTCCATCCACAGACGCACTTAGACAGCAGGTGTTTGCTGAGTGTTGTTTATGATTGGCAAAGGCTTGGAGAAACCTAAATGCCCACCTCCAAGGGTATGAACAAAGAAAAATGCCCAGGATACAATATTATGTAAAAAAATGAAGTCACACACTAGGGTGTCAAATAACACATGCCCAACTGTGGGTGCAGCCCTGGGACCTGGGGAGTTGCCTTGGAAGCTTTGACACATTGACAAGCAGAAAAACAATAACGGTTCATTTTTCAAATAAATAGTGATTAGGGGAGCATGGACAGGAGGGCACAGGCCTGTGTGGATCTGCCCAGAGGCCCCGGAGGCAGCTGATGCTTCTGCCCAGGTTCTCTGTGACATGCGCATGGACGGTGGCTGGACAGTGATTCAGAGTCGAGACGGGAGCAGGGAGAGGCCCCTTGACTTCGAGAGGTGTTGGCAGGAGTACAAGCAGGGCTTCGGCGACTTGGGAGGTAGGAGGGCCGTGCTGCCCGTAGGGCTCTGGGGTGTAGCCAGGCACCCCAGGGCCTTGTCTTGGGGGCTCAGCTTTGACCCCCACCAAGGACACGGCAGGGATGCCAGGGGTGGCGGCTGGCCTGAGCCTGGGCGCCCCGCTCTGCAGGTGATCACTGGCTGGGGTTGGAGCACATCTCCAGCCTCACCTCCCAGCCCGGACTGCACACGGAGCTCACTGTAGACCTGCAGGACGTGGGCAACCACACGCTGCAGGCGCACTACGACAACTTCCACGTGGACAAGGAGGACCGGTTTTACCGGCTGACCCTAGGTCTGTACTCGGGGAATGCAGGTGAGTGCTTGGGAGGGTTGGTGGGCTCTGCGGACCATTTCTCTACCCCCAAGCGGCCTGCTTTGCTGACATGCTGTCCAGAGGAGGGAAGGTCCAGACCCCAGAAACCCCAACTTCCTGGCCCACATCTGCCAGCCTCTGCTCTCTGGGGCTGCTCTCCCCAAGCACCCGCCCTTGGGGTCCAGGTGGAGCACAGCACAGCTGCGCGAAGTGGGTGCGGGCCGCGGGGCTGCAGAGCCCACCACCCACGCCGCTACGCCGCGCAGGGGACGCGTTCCGGGGCAGAAGCCGCACGGACGACCAGGAGGGCTGCGGCTTCAGCACGCTGGACCGCGACCACGACCGCTGCGCGCCCTGCACCGACGGCGCACGCACTTTCGCCAGCTGCAGCCACGATCGCTCCGGCTCCGGCTGGTGGTACAGCGACTGCGGCCAGGCGGACCTCAATGGGCGGTGGCCGGAGCCCATGGGGGTCATCGAGGGCCTGCGCTGGGCCGGCGGCGGCAGCGAGTCGGCCCTGCGCGCCAGCGTGATGCGCGTGCGCACCACTGCCCCCCGCAAGGCCTAGGCCTGCGGTGCAGGGCCAGTCAGGCCTCATTAAACGTTCCAGGCAGGCTGTCAGCTGCCGTCCTCCTTTCAGGTTGGGACATCCTCCCTGCCGGACCGCGGGGACTCTGCGCTGCCCGCAGCACCTGCTCGTCTAGGATGGGACTGGGGAAGTCCAGGAGGCCGTGCTGCCCAAACGGGGTGGCCAGAGGCAAAGGGTGGGAGGAACCCTTGGCACCAATCAGGTGTCCCCTCGGTGCGGGCTCAGCGAGGGCAGCCAGCAGGGCACAGAGCCTGGCACTCACAGACCCTCAATAGCTCAGTCCCCCAGATTCCATTCCACAATGTGCGTAAGACAGGGGTCTGAGGGGAAAAGGAGACTGGTGAGGAGGGCCTGGGACCTGCAGAAGAGGGGAGGGGGTGACAGGCTCAGGCTGGGTCTTCTTGGCGGTTCAGAAGGAGGCTAGGAACAGGGGTCTCTGCCAGCAGACCAGGCCCAGGTGGAGGGGAAGCAGTCAGGCTTCAGGAGGGGGCTCTGGGGCCATCCCCCTCATCTGTGTGCACCCCCCCCACACACACACACACACGTGAAGAAGGTAGTGTCATGGCTGAGGACCTGAGCTGAAGAGGAGCTCGGGAGTCCTGGGAAGTCATGGCCAGCAGGGGCAGAGTTGGTCACACCAGGTCTGAGAAGTCCACACTGTGGCCCCAGGAGAGAGTAGCCGGGGTGGCTCAAGTTAAATTAAGCAGCCATGGTGGAGCTTTTGTGTGTCCGGAATCTTTGGCCCAGCTCTGGGGCTCAGGTTTTACTTTGGGGCCAGGTCAGGGAGGGGATGGGGAAGCCCCTCCAAGGAACACAGGCTCCACAAAAGCATCTGAGGGCCCAGCTCAGGGGACCCCACAGGCTCACCTGAACCGAACCCCTCACCTGGGGGTGGTCCCTCTGAGAGCCAGGCTTTCCTGCCTCACCCTGCACCCACCCTAGCCTCCTAGGTATCTGTGGGGTGTTTTTCTGGGGCAGGTGCTCTTCTAGGGAACTGGTGCCCGGATTGTCAAGGCTCCTGCCCTCCAAGAGCAGGGGTAAGGAGAGAGGCACTCAAAAAGGAAATTAAGGGAATAAGCTCATATCAGAAGTACTGTGCAGGGAATCTCAGGCTGACTGGAGGCCCCAGATGGGTGTGCAGCTGGTAGGTGGGGTGGACGGGGTGGGCATGGAATCCAGCAAACGCGAGGAATCATGCTTCGGGCAGAGGAGCAGCAGGAGCAAAGGCCCCACACCAGTGAGGCGCCCAGTGAAGCCTTACCTGCCCTTGGTTTTGCCCCGGGCACTTCCCGGCCCCCACTGACCTGGCCAGATCTAGACAAAGGTCTCCTTTTCCTCTGTAGGTCCCCATGCTCCTTGGGAGCTTCCCAGGTATAGTCTGAAGCTGGCCCAGTACGCAGAGGGCAGCTGGGACTGAAGAAGGAGGCGGCCACTCCAGGTTGGGATGTGGCAGGTTTAATAAGCAAGGGGCTTATACACGAGGCTTCCTCGGGCACCCGCCCCGTCCGCTCAATCTTGCAAGTTCATACAGAGGCCTTAATGGGGTTCAGTCCCGTGTGTGTCCAGGTGTCTCAGCACCGGTCACCATCTCGAGCTGTGACCCTGGGGCGCCTCTGTGGAAGGCAGGCAGGAGCCCCGTTCCGAGGACGGGCAGGGCGTGGAGACTCCGAGTGCCCGGCCCGGCTCACGGGTTAACGGACGGTCACCTCTTCTCGAGGACAACCCCTCCCAACACTCCTGTCCTGGCACGAATCCTGGGCCAGAGCCTCAGCACAGGATGGAGCTGGGCCTGACCTTTGCCTTCACCCGAGTTAGGGACATCCCTGATGGCCCACAGAGGACGTGCCTCAGCACGGTCACCCCACTCGGGGCACTTATCTGGACCGGCAGGTATATCCTGGTCCGACTGCCAACCCTGCGCTGCCCAGCCCCCACCGCGAGCCGAGATGACGGACGGACGACGCAACCAATCAGAGCCAGGCCGTCAGGGTCGCAGGCGCAGTGGTGGAACACGCCCCCGGCGGCAGGACTTCCGGTCTGGGCAGAGGGGCTTCCGCCGCAGCGGCGCAGCGGATGGCCGAGCTCAGGGCCACGCTCTGGGCTTCGCTCGCGGCTGCCCGCGCCCGGTTGCCGCGACTCGGCCCGCAGCCCTCACGCTGCGTCTCCTCGGCCACTGCCCGCGGCGCCGCCATGGAGCCGGCGCCCCGCTGGCTGGCGGGGCTGCGCTTCGACAACCGCGCTCTGCGCGCGCTGCCCGTAGAGACGCCGCCGGCCAGCCCCGAGGGCGCCCCCTGCGCGCCGCGGCTGGTGCCCGGGGCCTGCTTCAGCCGCGTGCGGCCCGCGCCGCTGCGCCAGCCGCGCCTCGTGGCGCTGTCGGAGCCCGCGCTGGCGCTGCTGGGCCTGGACGTGCCGCCCAGCGACGCCGCCGCCCGCGAGGCGTGCGAGGCTGAGGCCGCGCTCTTCTTCAGCGGCAACGCGCTGCTGCCGGGCGCCGAGCCCGCCGCGCACTGCTACTGCGGCCACCAGTTCGGCCAGTTCGCGGGGCAGCTGGGCGACGGCGCCGCCATGTACCTGGGCGAGGTGTGCACGGCGGCCGGCGAGCGCTGGGAGCTGCAGCTCAAGGGCGCCGGCCCCACGCCCTTCTCCAGGTGGGCCCCTCGCCGGGTGGGCCCCTCGCCGGGTGGGCCCCTCGCCGGGTGGGCCCCTCGCCGGGTGGGCGGGGCCGGGGCCTGGCGGTGGACGGCGCCCTGGAGGGGCTGCCCTGCGCGCTTCTCCAGGTGTGTACGTTGGGGCTGGGGACGTGCACATGTCCACAGATGCCCTCCCCACCTGGGGGGGAGGGGGGAGTTGGAGAAGTTTGATCTGGGGAGCCGGAACATGGCGGGGAGCGGCGTCCTGGCAAAGCGAACAGCTCCCGAGGAGGCCCTGAGGCCGAGGGGGTGGGAACAAGGTCTGTGGCCGCTGGTCCCCTCCCCTGCCGATCTCCTGCCACCGAGTGTCCCTGATCCCACAGAACTGGCAGCTGCCGACACTCCGTTCCCGTAAACATCCCAAGAACCTTGGAGTCAGTCCCACTTGTAGCTCTCATGTCTGCTGCGTTTCCAGCCGCCAGTGCTGCGAGTGGGGGGGGGGACACTTGTCAGACAACCTCACAGGCAACACAGACTTCCCGAGGGCACCCAGCACACTTGGCACTTGTGGGCCAGCCTGTTGGGGCCCCGCAGTCAGGGGGCAGGGGCAGGTAACTTACAGGAGACCCAGAGGCACAGCACCTGGTCCAGATGCCAACAGCCTGACCCCCAGGGTGCCCTGGCTCTCAGTGCAGTGCTGACAGTCTGTTCTGCTCGTTTCCACTGAGCAGTTCATATGTTCACTCCATGTTTGTTAAATGCAAGTTAGACCTAAGTTGGTATTTTATGTTCAAAGAAATCCTGCAGGTGGGTCCAGCTGCTCCCCTTTCGTCCCCCAAGGACGAGCATGTCCCTCGTGCCCCACTGCCAGCAGCTCCATCTTACATTTTCAGAATAACTGGTCTGTTCTCTTCCTCCAGTCTCCAGACCTTTCTGTCTCTGAAGTTTCCTGAGTTGAGCTCGGCACCCCACCACCTCCCCCGAGCACCCTGCTTGGGCTGTCTGCACCAGAGGCTGGTGCAGGAGTTTCTGCCCCTTGGAAGGAGGTGTAAATACCTCTCATCCCGGGGCCTGCTCATTCTGTGAGCATCTTTAGGCTATCTCTGTTCACCCTGCTAATTTATTTTTGCCAGTTGTAAAGACAAACCTTTTCGTGAGAGTAATCTGCTGGGGGGTTGGTTTTTATATTGGAAGACTTGAGTTTTAAATCAGTTTCCAAATTTGAGGTCTGCCAGAACACTTTTTCCTTTGAAGGGAAGGAGTTACTCTGTTACTCAGGTTCACATGCCCTCCATGGGTCCTGGGGTCTCTCAAGCCCTAAGAGGCTGTGAGGAGCTTAAGGCCAGCTGCTGCTGGAGTTGCAGGTGTGTTTTGGGGCTGGGCAGGAGCTTCCTGCCTCCTCCTTCTTCCATGAGGGTTGGGATTTTAGGACAGGCCTCTCCTGGCAGGTAGAGAAGAGCTAGTCCTCAGCTGGCTCCATCCCATCAGCTCGGCTGGAACGGACTTGGGTGTGTAGGGGAAGGGACTGTGGTCACACGTCCTGTCGGCTCTGGGGCAGGGCTGCCCTGAGGCCTTGTATGCTTGCTGTGTAATGTTCTTCAAGTCTGGCTCCTGCTTTGGGAACCTTGCTCTAGGCAAGAAAACAAGCTGCTTGTTTTCAGGATCATTTCTTGCCAGACTCAAGATAGCTTGGTAGTTGTTCCTGCTGAACAACGTGAAATCTAGCCGGGCGGAGAGGGAACTCCCAAGGCCAGGGAGAGGTGGAATGACATTGAGGATGGATTGCCGTGACATGTTCACCCCAGAGACTAGGTGAGTGGAGTGCAGCTGTGGGCTGAGAGTCACACTGGCCAGAGACCTGGGGTGACCACCAGGCCTCATTTACAGAGGTGTTGTGCATATAGGGGACAAGCTGCTCTGCAGCCTGCAGAGCTCTGGGTGCTGGGTGGGCCTGGCTGCTGCCATTCACCTCCTGGGCCCCTCCCTGCAGGCCTGGGCCCAAGCACCCCTCCACTCACACTGGGCCCAGGTCTAACCCCTTCCTGACAGAGGACATGAGCAGCAGGTGCTGTCACCCTGCTGTGGTGTCCTGCCAAGTGAAGCAGCTGTGGAACTCATTATCTTCCCACACACCGTGCTTTGCCTAGAGGCCCTTCTCTCTAGCAGAGTGCTGGGACACTGCCGTCCTGGACCAGGCCAGGACCCCAGGCTTGACTCCCAGACGAGAATGTCCGAGCTCCAGTTGTCAGTGTGTTTTTGCTGGCTGGGACTCTTGGAGGTCAGAGTGTGCAGCCCTGCATGCTGTGAGGAGGGCTTGTGCAGGCCGGCTGCTCCTGCGTACTGCTGCCGCGTTCCTCTTCCAATTTAAAGCCAATTACAGTCTCTGGTCCAGCACAGAGGCAGCTGGGGGTCACCACTCCATTCTCACAACAAGTAAAGAGCTGAACAAACTGAGAAACAGCGACCTTCCATAGATCTGTAAAAGAAAAGAGGCCACAGTCAAAATGTCCCCAAAGTCGGAGCAGCCGGCAGACAGAGTCACGGCAGCAGAGCAGAAATCCTCACGGGGTCCTGGCCCTGTAATTGATGAATTACTGGAGGCTCAATGTAAACAACTCAGAAGCTCCAGGGAGACCTAGTCATAAGGGGCCCCCTATAGTGAATTTTACCTCCTGGAGTTCTACTAGCTTCTCACAGAGAATATTGGAGAAAAAATCCCCTTGTGCTCTGGCAGGGGGATAGGAAAAGGAACCATTTGGAATACACTGTGCTGCTGTTAGATGCCTGCCTCAGGAAGCTTCACCCAGCACCCCTGCTGCTGGGGTTTTATTGGAGCCTGCCGGTGGGGGCGGAGGGTGAGGGGAATACCCAGCTGCAGCCCACTCTAGCCTGGTTGTCCTGCCTAAAGGAGAATACAGGGAGCCTATGGCACAGAGGCATACATAGGTCCACTACAAGACTGAGACCTAATTATAGGACTTAGAGCACTGCCCCAACCCCATACCTATGCCGTATCACCATATTGCTAAGGATCTATTTAAAACGGTTCCTTTTACCTAGTATGTCATGCCTGGCTATCAAGAAAAAATTATAAGACATACTAAAAGGCAAGAAACACTGTTGGAAGAGACAGAGCAAGCATCAGAGCCAGACTTAGGGTGGAGATACTGCAATTCTAAGACTGGGAATTTGAAACTATGATTAATATGCTAAAGGCTCTATTTATGGATAAGGTAGGCAACATGAAAGAATAGATGGGCATGGTAAGCAGAGAGATGCAAGTTCTCAGAAAACCAAAAAGAAATGCTAGAGATTTCTAACAACACAGAAATGAAGAATACCATAATGGGCTCATTAGTAGACTGGACGTAGATGAGGAAAGAGTCTGAGCCTGAGGGTATCTCAGTAGAAACCCCCAAAGATGAAAACCAAAGAGAAAAAAGACAAAAAACAAAAACTATCAATAATTGTGGAAAAACTGCAAAAGAAGTAATTATGTAATGGGAATACCAAAAGGAAAGAGAGGAACAAGCATTTGAAACAGTAACAGGATTTCCCCAAATCATGTCAGACACCAAAGAGATCTAAGAGGTCTGAAGAACAGCACACAGGATGAATCCTCCCCACACCAAGGGAGAGAGACCCAGCTACACCCAGGCACCCGTCCTGGGACATCAGAGGAGAATTCGATAACCTACATGAAATGGTCCGGTTTTGTGAAAGATGCAATTTATTTAAACTCACACAAGAAGAAATAGACAATCTGAATAGGTCTGTATCTATTAAAAAAATTGGATAAACAATAACCTTCCAAAACAGAAAGCACCAGGCCTAAATAGATTCACTGGTGAATTCTACCAAACATTTAAGGAAGAAATTTGCCAATTTTCTGCAGGCTCTTTCAGCATTAGAAGCAAAGGGAGTACTTTCTGATCCATTTATGAGGAGAATCGTGGGAAGATGGTGGTGTGAGTAGTTCAGAGGAAATCTCCTCCCCAAAGCATATATATTTATGAAAATACAATAAATACAACTATTCCTAAAAGAGACACCAGTGGATACAGTACAACAGCCAGGATGCATCTACATCTGCGAGAACTCAGTATCACACGAAGGGGGTTAAGATACAAGCCACGGCCAGGTGGGACCCGAACGCCCCCCCACCCCAGAACCCAGCGGGAAGAAAGGAGTCAGAACAGGGAGGGAGTGAAAGCCCAGGACTGCTAAACAACCAGCTCTAGAAATCCGCACCCGGAGCACACACACAAGGTGCACGAGGTGCTGGATATTAGAGAAACGGAAAAACAAAACCTGTGGGCAGGTCCCCGCAACCAGCATCCCTGAGACAAAAGAAAAGCGAGTGCTTTCTGCAAGTCTTAAAGAGACAGGGACCCCATAGCTGGACGAAGTCATCCCGGCACACTTAGCCAGCAGCTGGGAGTTCCGGGGAACCTTAGGCGCCCTAAACCCCGGGGAGCCAGCGCAGCTCTGAAGCCCCTCACAGCACTAAGCAGCCTGCCAGTTGTTCCTCCAACTGGCGCGGACCCCGACACACTGGCCCAGTAGTGGGAGAGCGGCAGCACGTGCTGGGGGTGGCGGCACCAGAAGGGACTGGGAGCAGATCGCGTGCACCAGCGGCGCCAGAGGGGACCAGAAGAGGCTTGTGCAAGCCCGCGGCAGCGGCCACTCAACAGCCCAGGTGCGGCCCAAGCACACCGGTGGCAGTGGAGCCAGAAGAGCCCTGCACGCACGTGCAGTGGAGCCAGAGGGAGCACGCACGCTACCAGCAGCCAACCGGAATCCCAGCCCAATGCACAGCCACCCGGGCCAGACCCAAAGGCCATTGCTGGCACAGCTGCCCGGTAGGCAGCTATCACAGAGGAGCGCACCTGGCGTGCCTGTCACTCCCCGCAGGGCTCCGCACTGCTCTGATGGACACCCCGCCCACAGCAGCTTAGGGGACTAACCCAGTGGCTGCTCCAGGAGTGCGGGTAACCGTCACAGGCAGCGGAGAAGGG